TTCTTATTTGTTTCAAAAACATTTGTCAATTATTTTACTTCCATATTCTATTTTGTTCTTTGTTTAGAGGTAAAACGAAGTTCGAAATACGTGAGCAGCGGTATACTGTTATCGAACATGCTGCCCACTCTGATGAAAGCAACGTTTAAATGAATATGTAAATATGTGCTGCGCTTTCCTCTTAGTAACAAAATAAACACAACAAGAATGGAGAGAACAGCAAGCATTTTTTATAAAAAGCATCTGTTCATAGCAACATGGGTATGCTTGCACAAGCTCTGCAAATTAGCTCTCCCGTGAAGTCAAGCAGCAAGAAAAACAGTGTCAGTGTGTCATTTCATCAAAAGCAAAACTTAATTTGCTACTATAAAGCGGCTCTCCACTGTTTTACCCGTGGACATCTCACCTCACCAAGGACTCGACAGACGAAATTAGCTAGTGTTGGGTCGTTCTTGAACGATTCATTCATTTTGAACGAATCTTTAATGTGACTCGGGAAGAACGAGTCGTCTCGGGGAGTGATTCGTTCAGTCGCGCATCCGCAACATCCTATAGGTTCTGTACTGGAATTAGTCAAGCAGTTCACCTGTTTCGAGTCTTCGGGTTTTTCGAGTCATTCATTCATCACGTGACAGCCCCATAAGTTTAACCAATGCAGTCTGAGACGGAAAGAGAATTGATTAGTTCATCTCTCGAGTCTTCGGGTTTATCGAGTCGATCGTTCATCACGTGACAGACCCATAAGCTTACCCTATGCAGTCTGAGCCGGAAAGAGACCTAATAATAATAACCAACTCTTTATTTCCTTTGTTACAACATTCCGTGTTATGGAAAAGAACCATAATGACAGAAATTCACACATTTATAAACTGTAAGAAGTAAAAAGCAATTTGTAGTTGCAAGTACAATTTGAGACCAGAAACGCATCACGTAACTGTAAGAGTAAATAATAATTATAATGATGATGATAATAATAATAATAACTATGCATCCGTTTGTAAGGAAGCTTGTAAATTAACTAATTTCTCTATCCAATGCTGTCACGTCACATGACAAAATAACGAATGATTCGAAAGACTCGAGAGATGAACTAATCAATTCTCTTTCCTAAAATGAACGAAATGAACGAAATGACTCGAAAAAAGATTCGTTCATTTTGCTGAACGAGACTCAAAGGTCCGAGTCGGTAAAATGATCCGAACTTCCCATCACTAAAATGAACTCAGAGAAGAGTTCCGTGAGAAAGCAGGCGGAGCCTCAGCGCACACCTCCTATATACTTTCTTTATATAATTTATACTTTCGCCTGGCTCTGCTCCGCGAGCCTCCGCTGACTGCGCTCGCACCTTCCCAAACGGACGAGGCTTTTATACTTGTCGCGTTCGCCATTGCACTATTCTTTGAAACGACAGGGGGAGACGAGGAGTAATTGCCCTCTAAAACCATCGGGAATCACCGGTAAGAAGTAGTCATTTCCCGGTACAAGTCTTCTCACATGATGAATGAGTTGATGAATTCATAATTTCTTTATGTACAAACTTAAAACAATCTTAAACTATTGGCTTTATTTTGCATCAAACACAAGACAACTTTAAGCAAATAGTGTATAAATAGTATCTAAATGAATTCTAATTCTATTTTTATACAATAAAATAAAACGTACTTCAATTAAAAAGCCTTGGACAAACTATGCAAAAAAACTCTACATTGTTTTCCCTCAAAGCCTTGAAAGTTGCACCTGGTGGAGTTTGAACTTCACATCAAACTGCTTCTGTTTCACACAAATGCCGAGTTGCTGCAAAAAAAAAAAAAACTATGCATTTTCCGTCAAAGTGTCAAAAAGCACCTGATGGAGTTTGAACTTCACATTACACTGCTTCGGTTTCACACAAATGCCGGCACAGACGTGCATGTTCGGCTAGAATCGCCCTGAACTCGTGCATCTTTGGATGCGGAGCTGTGCGGAAAGTTACAAAAAATGCCGGGCACACCGCCACGCGAAATGAGTTTGCGCGCACTCAAAGCGAACTTCCGTCAACACTGCGATGATGTCATATTTGCCGTCAAGCGAACTTGCGGACGCGTCAAGTATAAATCAGCCTTATGACGTAATAGTCACGGACCAATGGTAGTACGAAGGTGTTTTGTAGCCGGAACAAACTTTTCCGGAAAGTTCGCTTTGGCAAGCTGTTTCGAACTGCCAAAATGAACACAAAACTTCGTTTTGGCCAGATTTTGTTCGAAATAATGTCACATCAGTTCGCTCTTTGATTTCGCTTGAAGTCTATCAAATCGCAAAAGAGCAACCAGTGGGAAGAATGAGTCTGAAGACCTGAACTAGGTTTTACCCATTTGTCAGCAGGGCCGGATTAACATAAGGGCTAGGCGGGGCTGAAGCCCCAGGGCCCGCAAATTGAGGGGGCCCGACGTGATTGGCTGTGGAGGAAAGGAAAAGTAGACCTAGAATTGATTGGCCATTGGGAGATTGCCGAAATCCCACCACGCCCCCACATATTAGTATGTGGTATTTCAGTCCAAAAGATATGAGCGATAAAAATGTCTTTGTATTCATTTACACTACACTGTAAAAAAATGATATGATGAAAAAGCCATGACAACTTATGTTTTTAAGTTACTTTAACTCATAAAAATAATTTAAGCAATTTCAACTTTTTTTTTATAAGTTATACTAGATTCAACTTGATTTTTTTAAGTCAGTTTAATGTTACTGAAATTCAAAGAGCCCAATTTAGTTGAATTTATGAACAACATTTTAAGTTGTAGCTTTTTGGCACTAACCGGCCAAATCTCTGAACATGGATTCATGCACAGGAGTCAAATTTGTACACGAATTTAATATCAGAGTCCTTTCCGAGAAAAAAAAATATTCAGCAAATATAGACATTAGACTCATGTTTAATACATAAAGACATCGCAGTGCAACATCAAACAAGGAGACAGGGGCGGACTATACAGCGAACTAACTAAATCGCGGAGGAATGTCAGACGAACAACTCATGAACTTGAGGAAGCTGTCCGTTGGGCTGGCGCGAAGAAGCATATTCAACGTGGATGAGGCGAGTGAATGCATGTGTAACATCATTTTTGGGAGATTATTGTTCATTCGGCATTTTCGCGCCCACTGGAAGTTTATCCCAGTCAGTCAGGCTTTGTGTGTTTGAGGTGGTATTCGTTACTGAGTAAAGTTAAGCGTTTTTTTTTATTAAATAAAAAAATATTTTATTAATATTTTAATAATATTTTATTTTATTTTCTTATCAACCGTTCAAGCTAGGATAATATAAGTTAACTTGAGGTAGACGACGCCCGAGCTGTTTTCTACGACGC